AAGACACAAAACTGAAATCGCTCAACAGATTTGGCTATACATTGCACTCCTTCCTCTCAGCATTTCCATACGATTTTCTGAGTTTCTACTCCTTCGTTCTGCATTGTTTTAACTTCAAACAAAGCAACTGTAAGTGTGATTTGCTACCGAACTTTGTGTTCGCTGAAACACTGGGGTTTGAAGTACCACTACACCAGTGTGTTATTCGTTCTATCCTGGGAGGAAATAATCCATAACCTTGGGTACTAAGAGGGGATTAAATTCCTTAAAAACACTGTGAATTCAGTGGGCTCGAATTAATTACTGTTTCATTACGATAACTTATATTTTGCAGAATTATTATTTACAAATACAGCAATATTGGCGGGACTAACACTACGTATATCATATGCCTACAGTCGATATATATTTGAAAACTGAGAAAACAAATGGACTTCTTGATTTGACAATCAATAAATCATTTCCTATGCTAATAACGTTCTCTTTTGAACTAATTGTTTAATCGAAAAGAGAAGGGACATTCAAAGGAATGAGCAACCACAACAAAAGGGAAATGCTTCTGATTCTACAATAAGAAGGTTGAAAAGTCCCAACTGTCGCGAATATAAGCTCCAATAGTGGAAACCAATGAGAAAGTTGGGCCAACAAATGGGCATCATATTATGCCCATAAGGCCATGACATATTCACATGCAGAAATAGCTTTCATTTGTCACTATTTGTCTCTGTCTTTGAAATAGTAGTCATTATTCTGAAACTTCAAATACCACAACTGAAATTCCAGGAAATTATGTTGGTTGTAAAATTTTAATATTTACAAACTTTGGGTCTACAAATTTTACCCATATTGACATTGACACCCTTTGGGTCTACAAATTTTTTCTTAATTTTCTTTTCTTGTATTTTTCTCTCAAAGGAAAATCTTGATTCCGTCCTTCCAAGTTTATTACTACTTCGTCAACTTATTATTAACTTAAAAGTATCTTATTCCTCCACTTATTTACTTGAATTGCACATTCTGCAGTGGCAAAAGTATAAATCTTCAACTACGCTGCTCGTGGGTCAATTTTCAGTTGCAGTTGTTAAGTCACTTTCAGATCCCATATACCCTATCTGATAAGTTCGTCTTCTTTTTCTTTATTATGTTATTATTGTTTTAGCAAAAAAATAAAAAATTTAAGGTATTTATGTGCATGAGGAATTCGAGTGTTTTCCAAAGTTTTGCTGTAAGATTGTAGGGGTAATAAGTGCAATTATATTCCAGCTATTGACAAATTTCAATGGAGGTATTCTTGATGTCCGATTAACAAATTTAATTACTATAATGAATATCTACGTTTTCATAGTAAAATTTTTAAATAGTCTCATCTGATTTAATGTAAAAAACTGATCCAATTGATGGCTCGATAAACAATAAGTGTAAAACAAATTCAGTTAGATGAAGTATAATACAAACTGGGAAAGGCTCTTGATCTGGAGCTCCGAAAGGAAAGTGGTGTTATGCTTTGGCCAGTCTTATTGAGGAAACTGTTGAAGCAGTTCTTGCGTTTGATTACCTTCAACGGTTAGAGGTCGTTTGGTAGAGTGCATTAGAGAAATAATGTACATTAACTTTGTATATTAGTAAAATCTTGTTTGGTATACTTTTTCAATCTATATATAACTAATACAAGCATTAGTTATACAACATATTTGGAATTATCTTATGTATAGCTAATACATTGCAAACCATGGTATTAGCAATACCACGGCTATTAATGCATGCATTAGCATGGTTAAAGGCAAAATTATCTTTAAATTCCCTTAAAGCTAAAGAATATGGAGGGTATTTTTGTAAACAAACAATTTTTTTAAAAATTATGCAATGATTTTAATTTTTAATACACCACACCAAACAATGAATAAGAAATAATCTCTGCATAACTAATGCTTGCATTACTAAGTACTAACTCATGCATTACCAATCCATGCATTATTAATACACTTTATTTTCCATTATTCTTATAGACTTATACACCCTACCAAACCACCCCTAAAGGAATAAGGGAGTTCGATGTACGATAATCAACGCATCTAATTTTTTGCGTGAATTTGACACCTAATGTTAATTTTTTAAATGTAAATTTACACAATATGAAAAGGATTAGGAAATGCAACTTTTATAGATAAGAGACCCGACCGCAATATATAAAAAATAAGTCATGAATTTTTATTTTTTTTATAAGCTTGGTGTGCGGCTTGTATGTTTGACTAATAGTCATGAGGTGTTTGCTGCATCCCACCGGCATAAGGTATAGTATAACTATGTCCAATAAAACATGAATAAAGGTAAGAAATCACCTAGTATTTTTTGACTCCGCTAAAATATAAACTTGATTTTTCATGGTTCTTAACCCGTTTTATTGATCAGTAGACCAATACCCTTGGTGTTAATAAGTCATGAAAATATTTTTATACTTTAAATAGTTACTCCCTCCGTTTCAATTTAGATGATGTAGTTTGATTTGGCACAAAGTTTAAGAGAAAAAAAAAAAAAAAGACTTTCGAAACATATAGTCCTAAAAGCTTAAAGAGCAAAAGCTTTGTGAGATCATGATATTTGTGTAGTTATAAAAATTTCTCATTAAAGTTAAATTATTTCTAAATATAAAATTATGTCATTCTTTTTGGAACGTTCAACTAAGGAAGGAAAATATGTCATTTAAATTAAAATATATTATTACAATTATTTTTGGAAAGAATATTTGAAAAGAAAAAAAGAAAGAATAGATTTATAGGATGAGAGTGGCGTGAAGACATTGATAATAAGTAGACAAGAAGCACGGGAATCATTAAATAGTACAGCAAGTTGCATCTACAACTTGCATAATTTTTATATTCAATACTCAAAGCGAGAAGATAAGTAGAAAGATGAGGAAAAGGAGACCAGCAAGCAAGCCTGCAACTTGCATCTCTCTTACCCTTTACTAAAACAGTAAACAATTCTGATATGACAATTGAAAATTTGCAACTTGCCGTTTTCTTTACTGATTGATATATGTCAGCTAATTGGTCTCTCTTTCCTAAAGTCCCCCTCCAACTTGCACCGTACCTGCACTTTGATTCCCATCAACTTGTCTCTATTATACTACTTCTACCTTATTTATTCTCATCTCTCTCAATTTGCTTGTGATATACTTTTGCTTTTTTCTTTTTAAATTTGTTTCCAAAAAGGATGACCTTTGCATTCACTAAATAAAAATCATAAAGTGATTTGTGATGCAACGCTCACCCTCGAGGCAACTACCACCATATATTATACTCTCTTCGTTTCAATTTATGTGAACCTATTTTCTTTTTAGTTTGTGTCAAAAAGAATGACCTCTTTCCTTATTTGAAAACAATTTACCTTTATGCAATGATTTATAGCCACATAAAATATATGTGTCTCATTTTACACCACAAATTCAAAAGTTTTCTCTCTTTTCTTAAACTCCGTGTCCAGTCAAATGGGTTCACACGAGAGAGTATATATATACGCCTCAAATGGACAATTTCTTTGTTGCAAATTTACTTACCATCGTCATGAATCATGATTCTTCTGTCCTTACCTGTCTTGTATTACTAATTTACTACCACTAGTGTATCATATTTTCAGTTATTGGTAATTAACTTATGAAGAGAAAAAACTGATTTAATTCGTAAATAGGTACAATGCACGTTGACATAATGTTATTATTGTTTCTCTTGCTTCATTTACCAAAACAATTTTAAAACAATTTGACGATGAAGGAGAAATGATTTTAAAAAAATTATATATAACTGATACCGTTGATGTGCCCTTAGGGTACATGAATATCAGTACATAGCTAATGAACATTACATTCGATGAACCAAATAATATAACAGCAGCGATTAAATGTCAAGGAAGATTTAAAGCTTGCACTACTTTCATGGTTTCTGCAAAGAATAATTGTTAACAAATGTGCTTATACCAAAATAAAAATTATGAGTACATTGTACTTAATGCTGTCATAGCATGAAAACCTGCCATTAAATAATTGCTTCTCGTTATCCATTCGTTTGTCTAATCCAATCAATAAACCTACTTCATTGTTACGGCTTAATTACATTGTTAAATGTAATCTTAAAACCAACCAGCCAAATTAGAACCGCTTAGCCTCGTCATCATTCCCTTAATTAGAATTTGTTCAGCATAGTATACTACTTTCTTTATAGCATATACCCTTAAAAGGGTTTATTACGGTACAGGCAACTAATATATATACTAGTACGTTTTAGTATTTCATTGCAATATTAATATCTTGCTGATATATCCTTCGTTGAATGATATCAAAAATTTGACCTGAAATTCTTATTTTTGACAAATTGCTGATAAAGAAAACGTAGCAGTAACAGTGAAGTAAAAACCTACCAATATTAAAGAAACAAAGAAGAAAAACAATCACAGAAAGAAATTAATTCAGCAAAACAAGTTTTTTAACCAGATCGAACTTATCTTCAACAAGTACTGACAACCTGAAGATCAATGAAGAACAGCTAAAAGGTGCAATGATTTTTCAAACCATCGTACCCCCCAAAAACGTCATTGGATTTGATACATCATATCATCACATGTATCGATTAGTTTTTCATGTGGTGTCCGATATCCGTGTTGGAGCGAGTAAATCCGGATTAGCGCCAGAAAGTCAAGTCAAGGGATAAAGGGCTCATGGGGCTTTTCGTCTGCTCAAATTCTCAGCGATCTGCGCTAACGATTGAAGGTTACATTTAACAATAGTATCAACAAAAACACATGTTTCATCCCTAGTATTACCCATTGGAACATCCACAACGAACGATTCCACGACGATAGTCGTTGTCCCATTGCCTGAAGGTTCAGGATGTAAAGTAGTAACAGACCGATAATTCACGAGTCGGTGATCCCCACCGACTACGCTGAAACTAATGACGTGGCGCTCCTCGTCAAGAATTTCTAACCTCTCCGTGCTGTTTACTGCTGGCAGCCCGGAGATAACGCGGACTTCACGGAGAGTACCGACGTTACCGTCACCGTCAATGAGGTGGCAGCTCTTGACGAAGTGCTTGTACGCTTGTGGGTTGTCGAACCGGCGGACGACGGACCATACGGTGGATACGGGGGCTGAGATTCTTTGGATCACGGCGGAGCAGCACTGGTTGGGTCCCACTAAATGCGTGTGGTATTTAACGACGGAATCTGGTACCTGGGTGGTGCATGGTATTGGTGAGTGGCGCTGTAGTTGGTGGGGTTGTTTACAATTGGCTGAAGTGTTGGAATTGATTCTTTGGAGTAAATAAGATGAATTCTGACTATTGGGAAGCATTTTTTTGCTTAAGAGTTGTCTGATTTCAGGTATACATATAGAGAGATAAATATGGAGGAGAGAAAGAGAGAGATGGGATTTGAAAGGAAGAAGAGGCAATAGGTTTCATGTGAGGGTGATAACAATAGGAACTAGTTGCTGCAAGTGAACTTACCAAAACAGCCCTAACTCACCTCAAGAAAAGTAGGGAGTCTATAAAAGGAAATGAAAAAAGAAAAAGATAATTTAGTTGAATATACAAAAATTGTTCTAATTCAATCTGCAGAGTAACACGTTTTCCTTAGAAATGGAAATAATTCACTAACCGTTATTTTCTTAGCTCCTACCTACATCAAATAATAAGGATACGCTATCTTATTAACATGCGCATGCACAACATTCTTTTTATCTCTAGTTCGAGCTTTATCACTGTATACGGATGAAATCGAGCATGTGGGATGCCTTGATTTCCGGTGAAGTGAACGGAGCAAGAAACGTAAAGGCAAGGAATCAGAATCGAGGCAAGGATCCCCTTGATCCGGGGTCCGGACAAAACACCCTCCCTCGGGAGTATCGGAGCCATGACCCCCAGGTTCGGTTCGAACCCCAAAAGCCTCGGAGAGCATTACCAGATAATCGAGCACGACCAACAAAAGGTTGTGATGTCCGCGACCAGCCGAATATCACGGCGTGGATCTCGGCACGTATCGGCAGAGAACCGGTGATTAGTTAAACAGAAGATTTTTACCTTTTTATGATATTGTACTTAGAGTAAAACCCCCTTACTAAATAAAGGGGGGTCTAATTATTCATTAGGGACATTGTAACATGCACAACAAGGCAATATACTCTTATTTTCTCTATTATTCAAAGCTCTCACTTTTGTTCATTAAATCATCAGTCACGTGAACTCGGGTTCGAAGGCAGGCATTCCATTAAGCTGTTATTAAGTCTAGGATCATTCCTCTTGATTGGTTTAACAATTTATCACGTCCTTTATCTGTTTAATATAACGCAATTTATCGTTTGTATTGAATTAATGTATGTATCCTTAAAACTACTTACAAATTTAATTGTTATCCATTTTTTTTAGAGTAAACAGTTTGGCGCCCACCGTGGGGCTAAGGATAATAGTGGCAATTTGATACAAATTTCCATAACACACTCTATTTACACTTGTTCTTTAAGCTTTTAATTTCAGGTTAGATTAAAAATGTCGAACTCTCAATCTGCCCATTTGAACGTCGATGTTGAGTCCGGCCACCATGGCGAAAACAACAACGCGGTACCCAACAACGAGGTTCCCCCTGTTGATCCCAATGGAGTCCCGGCCTACTGACCCGGAAAACAGCATTCGCGGGGGAGCCCGATCGATAGCCCGGAGTACACACGATAGCGAAGGTGACAGGATCAACTTGCGCGTGATCTTCAAAATGTCATAGGCTCAACATGCAGCGATAGCCCAGTTGCAGAACTAAAGCTGAGCCCCCAGCAGAGTTGAGCTCGAATCGTCCCGCGAAAACACCCACAGAAATGAATCGGCCATAGAAAGGTCGGGTGAAGCAGAATCCGGGACCAACCCCGAGATAAAAAAGATGCTTGAGGAACTGACAAAACGGGTGGAATCGGGAGAAAAGAAAATCAAAGCCAACGACAAAAAAGTGGAGATCTATAACTTCAGGGTCGACCAAATCCCGGGAGCACCACCGATACTGAAGGGCCTGGATTCCAAACAATTTGTCCAAAAGCCTTTCCCTCCTAGCGCAGCTCCAAAGCCGATCTTAAAGAAGTTCTGTATGCCCGAAATTCCGAAGTATAATAAGACAACCGATCCCAACGAACATGTGACCTCTTATACGCGCGCCATCAAAGGAAATGTCTTGGAAGATGATGAAATCGAATCTGTTCTGTTCAAAAGGTTCGGAGAGACCTTGTCGAAATGAGCTATGATATTGTATCACAACCTACCCCCTAATTCTATTGACTCGTTTGCTATGCTTTCAGACGCCTTTGTAAAAGCACACATCGGGTCCATCAAGGCCGAGACCAGGAAATCAGACCTTTTCAAGGTAAAGCAAAGAGATAACGAGATACTCAGGGAATTCATATCGAGGTTTTAATAGAATGGATGGACCTGCCTCAAGTCGCAGATGATTGGGCCGTTCAGGCCTTCACTCAATGACTCAATCCCCGAAGCTCATTGGCTTCATAGTAGTTTAGGCAAAATCTGATAGAATACCCGATAGTAACTTGGGCCGACGTCCATAACCGGTACCAATCAAAAATCAGGGTCGAAGACGATCAGCTTGGGGCCCCTTCCGGGTGTGTTTATCCCGTCAGAGTTGGTGACAGATCCAAGAGAGACATTGATCGTGTACCAAGATCGAATAGAGACAGGTATCAACCATACAATGGAGATCGAAGGGTTAATGGGTCAGGATGCAACACTGTGAGAAGTGAAAGAAGGAGCGACCGAGGTCAGAATAACCGGGGACTCATGAGAAAAAATGGTTTTGACAGTGTCACGACTCGGAATTTTCACCGTCGGGACCGTGATGGCGCCTAACATTTTACTTGCTAGGCAAGCCAACGTTAGAGAATCATTTAAACCAATCCTTATTCCATTCAGTAAATAACAGCAATTAGCTAAGATGAATTATAGTGAGTGCCGAATAATATAATGAAACTGCATTAATTGCTACCACCCGGATCTGGAGTCACAATTCACGAGCATTCTAGAATTCACTAAAAGATATAGTCTGAAAGAAATACAACTGTTTGGATGAAAGAAACAGTAAAACAGAAAGGATAGACGGGGACTTCAAGGTTTGTGAACGCCGACAGATCTACCTTGAGTCTCCGGATAGCGGGTCCAACAGCTAAAATCTCAATCAACCCGAGTCGGTACAAAAATCTGCATAGAAAGTGCAGAGTGCAGTATCAGTACAACCGACCCCATATACTGGTAAGTATCGAGCCTAACCTCGACGAAGTAGTGACGAGGCTAAGGCAAGGCACCTACAAATCAACATGTACAATTTAACAATGTATATACAAATAACAGTAATGAAGAGCTAGACAGAAAATATCGGGAGGGAAAAACATACTGGGGGAAATACGAGATAAAGAACTACATCAGAATGATAACTAGAACAACCAATATACTATGAATCAACAGAAACAACGAATACAGTAAAGGAAAAATGCACGGCATCACCCTTCGTACTTTTACTCTCAATCTCACCATAAAAACAATAGAAACGGCACGGCATCACCCTCCGTGCATTAACACTCACAATATGGCACGACATCACCCTTCGTGCATTAACACTCACAATATGGCACGGCATCACCCTTCGTGCATTAACACTCTCCCTTACCATAAGGCAATGCATAAATAACAACAGGGGGTTAGAATAACAAGTACAAGCCTTACTTCAACATTTGGTTCCACAATATCAATCTCAACTTTGAAATAAATACTCAATTATCACCAGAAGATCCGTAAGCATGATAAGAACGAATAATTTAACGACATTAGACTAAACCTATAGCAATTAGGCATGGGAAAGAGACAATATAAGAAAAACGAAAATAAAACCGGGGAAACAGGTAAATTGGCGGTGCATAGGTACTCGTCACGTCACGTATACGCCGCTCACATGAATTTCACATAGCAAATAATCTGAGGTTCCTAATTTCCTCAAGTCAGGGTTAACCACGACACTTACGTTGCTCCGAAGGCCACTTATTTCTCAATCACAACTTTTCCTCTAGAATTCACCTCCAAACCACTCGTATCTATTCAAATATGACTCAATAATATCAAATATTGCTAAAGGAATCAATTATATTGCATAAATTAAATTTTCCTCCAAAGTCTCGAAAATCGACCCCGAGCCTGCTTGGTCAAAATCCGAGGTTCGGACCAAAATCCATTTACCCATTCACCCCCGAGCCCGGATATATAATTGGTTTTGGAATCCGACCTCAAATTGAGATCTAAATCTCCAAAATTCCGAAATCCCTAGTTTCTACCCAAACCCCTAATTCTACTATGAAAACTCTAGATTTTAGGTTGAAAATTTATGAAATGAAATGGGTAACTGAAAGAATATGGTTTAGAATCACTTACCAATACTTTGGGGAAGAAATTAACTCTTGAAAATCGCCTCTAGCCCGTTTGTTTTTATGAAAGTTGAAAAAATGGCTTATTCCCGTTCTTGATTCTGTTTTATGCACTGGGCGACAGTGTGCATCGCGTTCGCGAGGCCACTGTCGCATTCGAAAGACCCTACTCGTGTTCGCAAAGGTTACTCCACCCCTGTCCTTCGCGTTCGCGAGACATTGCTCACGTTCGCGATGAAGGAAAGACCAACCTTCCCTAGGTCCCCAAGTGCTTCGCGTTCGCGATGAGTCTGTCGCGTTAAATGCCCCATCACTTCACGTTCACGGCCAGGCCTTTGCGTTCGCGAAGAAGAAATCTCAGCCTGACTAGTTTACTCTTCGCGTTCGCGAGAGTACCCTCGTGAATGCGAAGAAGGACATGCCAGAATACCTGCTGCAGCAAAATACCAGATTTTTCCAAGTCCAAAACATCTCGTGGCCTATCCGAAACTCACCCGATCCCTCGGGGCTCCAAACCAAACATGCACACAAGTCTAAAAACATCATACAAACTTGCTTGCGTGATCCAATCGCCAAAATAACACCTAGAACTATGAATTTAGCACCAAATCAAATGAAATTCTCAAGAACACTTTAAAATTTCTATTTTCTCAACTAGACGTCCGAATCACGTCAAACCAACTCTGTTTCTCACTAAATTTCACAGACAAGACTTAAATATTATAATGAACCTGTACCAGGCTCCGGAACCAAAATACGAACCCGGTACTAATAATGCCAAACATCAATCAATTCTTAAAAACCATTAAATTTCAGACTTTTAATTTTCATCAAAAATTCATAACTCGAGCTAAGGACCTCCGAATTCGATTCCGGGCATACGCCCAGGTCCTATATTTCGATACGGACCCACTGGAATCGTTAAAACATGGATCCGGGACCGTTTACCAAAAATGTTGACTGAAGTCAACTAAAATCAACTTTTAAGGCAAAAATTCTTATTTTCATCAATTTTCAACATAAAAGCTTTCCGAAACACACCCGGA